AGGGTGAAAAGGAAAGGAGGAAAATGTATAGAGTGGCAATTCCACCTCCACCTCCCTAGGAGTTCTTCCAAAACTCATCTGTTCTCTGGATCTGTTGTAGGGACAGTACAGACTCTAATCTAGCCCTATTCCTGTGTGTACTTGCCTCCAATGTCCACAGTGGCCAGAGATAAGGCTTCTTCTTTTGTGTGAACACTCATTGTCCTTTTATATATTCCACAGGACTTCCCTGGTGACTCAGTGGTAAGGAATCTGCCTGCCAATTCAGGAGACATGGGTTCATCCCTGGATCAACAAGATCCCGTGGAGGAAGAAATGGCTACCCATTCAGTATTCCTGCCTGGGAAATTCCATGGACAGAGGAGCCTGGTGGGCTACAGTCCATGGGGTCACAAAGAATTGGACATGACTTATCAACTAAACAACAACAAGACTCAGAGTTTACCTACTTGACCGTGTGGATTTAGTCTGTAGCTTGTACAGCTGGTGGAAAGGTTTTCAATCCTCTTCCTTAGCCACTCTGCCCCTGGAGCCCAATTGTGGTTTTATCTCCACCTCTGCATATGGGTCATCCACTGGAGTTTGCTCCTAAGGCTGCCCTGGAGGACTTGGGTCTGCCCCAGTGAGGACTGGGTGTGGAGGTGGTGTGGTTGCTTGGATCAGAGACCTGGAAGCACCAGGTATGCGGAGGAGCTGGTGCAGGAGATACGGCTCTATTAGGGTTTTTTCTAGCTTCTGGCAACTCTGCCCCAGTGAGGACCAGGTATTGAGGTGGCTCAGCTGGTTGCATTGTGGGGAACCTGGTGGTGCCAGGTGTGCAGGGAAGCCGGTGGCCGTGGGTACATGAGATTTTCACACTATTAAGGGTTTTTTTTTTCCCCCTAGCCTCTGGCAGCTCTACCCCAGTGAGGACTGGGTGTGGAGGTGGCCCAGCTGCTTGGATCTCAAGGAACCTGGATGCACCAGATGTATAGGGAAGCCAGCAGCCACAGGTGCAGGATATAAAGTGCTATTAGAGCCTTTTTTCTAGCCTCTGGCAGCTGGTGGTCAAAGGGCTTCCTTGGCTGGTCCTGCTATGGTGCTTGGTGCAGCAGGCACTCAAGGGGCCACCATCTCTGGGGTCTTCCTCTATCAGCTGCTAGCATCATATGTGGGGAGAGAGAGAGGCTACAGTGATGAGGCTACAGTGCAGGCTACTCCCTTCTCTTGACTCAGCAGTATCACCCGGCCTCCAGGGCTGCCCAGCTTTCCTCCAAGGACATTCCTCTGTCTCCTCCCTCACATGCCCTCAGGATGTCTCCCACAGTCAATAGCAATCCTTGTCCTGGGATTGCTCTCCAGTCCCTACCCAGCCACTGGGCATACTGGAAGACCTGTGTCCCTTTCTGGTGTATATAGGGCTGCTGCACAGGTTGTTTGTGTGGTTCTCACTCCATTCAGACCTTCACAGATCAGCTGCTTCATCCCCCAACAGCCTCAAATGCCTCCCCTTTGTCCTAAACTATTCCTCTGATGTGGGGATTTCACCCCTGCTTCAGTTCCTCCACCCCATGGGTTCGGGTCCAGTCCTACTCACTCTCTTTCTGTTTTTTCCCTTCCTTCCCTCATCCTACCAAGTTTTTTGTCAATCTATGTATTCCCTTCTGGTGGTCAGGGACTCCAGCCAGCTCTCAGCTGGTGCTCTGTGAGATCCTCTGCATCTGAAGATGTATTCCTGATGCAAGCGCAGATATATGAGTCCACCTACTGCTCTGCCATCTCATCATCTCCTCCAAAATAGTTTTTAATGTATCTTTAATTCTGGTTTAGGATGAAAAACCTATAATAAGGCTGTGATGGAAAACCCAGGTAGGGCTATGGAAGGGGTCTTCTAGGTTGGTTAAAGCTCTGAGGGTTGAAGACTCTATTTCTCCACTGTGTCTAATAGCTTGAAACCTGGGGAGTTTTCATTTCCTTGCTTTCAGTTTATCACAAATACTGCTCTTAGACATTATTCCTACTTTGAGCTGCTGAAAAATGTTTGTTTGATTTATTGTCTCAGGCTCATTTAAAAAAAAAGAGCAAGAGAATGAAAAGAAGGGTTGATTGGGAGAGAAAGAAGAAATGCCAAAGACTTAGAAAGTAGAGGGCATCTGGATCAGGTTTCCCAGTGGCTCAGCAGTAAAGAATCTGCCTGCAATGCGGAAGACACAGGAGATCTCGGGTCGGTCCCTGGGTGGGGAAGATCCCCTGGAGAAAGAAGTGGCAACCTGACCCAGTATTCTTTCCTAAAAAATTCCATGGACAGAGGAGCCTGGCAGTCTGTGAGTTGCAAAGACTCAGACACAACTGAGCACTGCACTGTACCTGACGCTGTAGAAAATAAAACAGAAGAAATATTTTCTGAGAGTTTCAGTTTCACGGTTCTTCTTTTGAGAGTGTTAATACAACTTTGATTGCTGATCACTGATTAGCGATCAATGCAAAGAAATAGAGGAAAACAATAGAATGGATAAGACTAGAGATCTCTTCAAGAAAATTAGAGATACCAAGGGAACATTTCATGCAAAGATGGGTTCGATAAAGGACAGAAATGGTATGGACCTAACAGAAGCAGAAGATACTAAGAAGAGGTGGCAAGAATACACAGAAGAACTGTACAAAAAAGAGCTTCACGACCCAGATAATCACGATGGTGTGATCACTCACTTACAGCCAGACATCCTGGAATGTGAAGTCAAGTAGGCCTTAGAAAGCATCACTACAAACAAAGCTAGTGGATGTGATGGAATTCCAGTTGAGCTATTTCAAATCCTGAAAGATGATGCTGTGAAAGTGCTTCACTCAATATGCCAGCAAATTTGGAAAACTCAGCAGTGGCCACAGGACTGGAAAAGGTCAGTTTTCATTCCAATCCCAAAGAAAGGCAATGCCAAAAAATGCTTTAACTACCACACAATTGCACTTATCTCACATGCTAGTAAAGTAATGCTCAAAATTCTCCAAGCCAAGCTTCAGCAATACATGAGCCGTGAACTTACAGATGTTCAAGCTGGTTTTAGAAAAGGCAGAGGAACCAGAGATCAAATTGCCAATGTCCGCTGGATCATAGAAAAAGCAAGAGCATTCCAGAAAAACATCTATCTCTGCTTTATTGACTATGCCAAAGCCTTTGACTGTGTGGATCACAATGAACTGTGGAAAATTCTGAAAGAGATGGGAATACCAGACCACCTGAACTGCCTCTTGAGAAACCTGTATGCAGGTCAGGAAGCAACAGTTAGAACTGGACATGGAACAACACACTGGTTCTAAATAGGAAAAGGAGAACGTCAAAGCTGTATATTGTCACCCTGCTTGTTTAACTTATATGCAGAGTACATCATGAGAAACTCTGGTCTGGAAGAAGCACAAGCTGGAATCAAGATTGCCGGGAGAAATATCAATAACCTCAGATATGCAGATGACACCACCCTTATGGCGGAAAGTGAGGAGGAACTAAAAAGCCTCTTGATGAAAGTGAAAGAGGAGAGTGAAAAAGTTGGCTTAAAGCTCAACATTCAGAAAACTAAGATCATGGCATCTGGTCCCATCACTTCATGGGAAATAGATGGGGAAACAGTGGAAACAGTGTCAGACTTTATTTTGGGGGGCTCCAAAATCACTGGAGATGGTGATTGCAGCCATGAAATTAAAAGATGCTTACTCCTTGGAAGGAAAGTTATGACCAACCTGGATAGCATATTAAAAAGCAGAGACATTACTTTGCCAACAAAGGTTCATCTAGTCAAGGCTATGGTTTTTCCAGTGGTCATGTATGGATGTGAGAGTTGGACTGTGAAGAAAGCTGAGCACTGAAAAATTGGTGCTTTTGAACTATGGTATTGGAGAAGACTCTTGAGAGTCCCCTGGAATGCAAGGAGATCCAACCGGTCCATCCTAGAGGAGATCAGTCCTGGGTTTTCACTAGAAGGTCTGATGCTGAAGCTGAAACTCCAGTACTTCGGCTACCTGATGTGAAGGGCTGATTCACTGGAAAAGACCCTGATGCTGGGAAAGATTGAGGGCAGGAGGAGAGGGGGACGACAGAGGATGAGATGGTTGGATGGCATCACTGACTCGATGGACATGAGTCTGAGTAGACTCCAGGAGTTGGTGATGGACAGGGAGGCCTGGCGTGCTATGGTTCATGGGGTCGCAAAGAGTCGTACACGACTGAGCGACTGAACTGAACTGAATACAACTTTAGTGAAGAATTTAAACCTGCTGTGTGACTCTTGTCCTAAGACAATGTCAACCACAAATTGCCAAGGTCATTTGGCATCTCCCTCTGTGGAGACTGAATCCTGTGCTACTGCAGCTGTTGTGAAGAGCGAAGCACTCTGTGCTCCAGGGAAACTGGTGGAACATGTCTTTGGATAGTTATATGTTTTCAGGAACCTATCTTGTGATCCCAATCCTTGCATCTCCTCTTATCTAGAAAATCACTAAATCCCTTCATAGTGACATCAGCTCCTCATGACTAGCAGAAAAAGTTTTGTAAAATAAGTGTCCAGTGGCGTTGAACTCTCCTTTCACCCAAATCTTCTATACTGACCTTCCCCAACTGCCACTTTGGAGAGGTTTCTCAGAGCTATCTGAGGTGCTGCCTCCTGGACTGCAGGCCTCATTTTGCCCCAGATAGAACTTAACTCACACTCTCACTTTGTGCATCTCTTTTTTAGTTGACGACAGTTAGCTTAGTCATTCAGAGGAGGATTATCTACCTCAGGGGTCAGGGGGCCCAGTCTTCCATTTCAGGGGGCTTTGCAGGAAACCAGGCTTGCAGTCCTTCCCACCTAGCAGGGTGAACTCAATTCACACTGGGTGAAGTCCTGCAAAGATCTCCCAGTTTGCATTCAAAAGGCAGATACAAGTTTTTAGGCCATTTGTGTTTCCATTTGCCCTTGCTATTTACATAGAAAATAAAGGGCTGACTTTAATCACATGGTTATTTTGATTTATTAGGCTCATAGACTTACTCTCTTGAGAAAGCAACGTGCCAGAAGTTCAGGGTTTTCAGTGCATTTTTCCAATTCTTTTAGAAAAGTCCTAGGGAAAGAAAAGTATAATATTGCTTGATTTTTCTGTATATGGGGTTAACAAAAAATTCTTTTGAGGTAAAATCACATAATGCTTTAAGAAGGGTATAGAAAAATGTTGTTTTCCCGGCTTTACTGCTTTTGACTCATCTTCAACATGCTGATTTAAAAGAAAAAAAATGTATTCTGTGACATTAATAGGATTCCGTGAAACCACTCATACCTGTTTGGGTAATTATAAGCACCAGACAGACTGGATACACTGATGATCTCTGCTACCTGATACTGACATTAACAAGAACTACTGTTGCTGCTGTTACTACTACTACTACTATCATTGAAAGCTGACTATAAACCAGGCATAAGCTAAGTGCTTTGCAAATAGTATCTCATTTAATCCTCCACCAAACCTTGCAAGACAGGGTTTCATAAGTGTGAAACCTGAGGTTCAAAGAAGCTATATAACTTCTCCAGGAAAAGAAACAGAAATAGTATTTTTATTTCATCTTTGTGTCTGACCAATGGTCAAAGAAATGTGGTTAAGAAACAACTGTGATTCCATTTACCAAGCAGTCTCTTCCCTCATACCAAGTAGATGTGAGAGCCTGGAGCCACTAGAATGGGTAAAGTAGTAAACACAAGATGTGGTTTTCTCATCTGTAAAACGAAAGAGTTGGAACATGATTTCCAAAGTCCCCTCCTTTTCTCATTCTTTAGAATCCAACACCTTAGGCTAAAAGGACAAGAGCTATTGGCTAAAAGGACAATTGTCTGACTGGTTAGCATTTTCTAACACCCTGGTTCCCAGCACCCACCTATAATAGGTAAGTGGACTTGTGTCTTAGTCAAGTTTGTACTCCCAATGTGGAACACAGTGCCTGACACAGAACAGGTGCTCAACAAATGCTGATGTGTGAATAGATGAATAAGGAAGGGAACCCATCTATGCCTGACACTAGTACATGCTCCATTAATGTCTTTTCCCTTCTTCCTTGGGGACCTTCTCACCTCATTCTCATCTCATCCCACCCCAATCCAATCCACTGAAGCTGAGTTTCAGTCAGTCCTTCCAATGAATATTCAGGACTGATTTCCTTTAGGACGGACTGGTTTGATCTTCTTGCAGTCCAAGGGACTCTCAAGAGTCTTCTCCAACACCACAGTTCAAAAACATCAATTCTTCAGCACTCATCCATACATGACTATTGGAAAAATCATAGCTTTGACTAGATAGACCTTTGGCGGCAAAGTGATGTCTCTGCTTTTTAATATGAAAAGCTCAAACTCCAATACTTTGGCCACTTGATACAAAGAACTGACTCATTGGAAAAGACCTTGATGTTGGAAAAGTTGAAGGCAAGAAGAAAAGGGGACAACAGAGGATAAGATGGTTGGATGTCATCACCGACTCAGTGGACATGAGTTTGAGCAAGCTCCACGAGCTGGTGAGGGACAGGGAAGCCTGGCGTGCTACAGTCCATGGCGTCACAAAAAGTCAGACATGACTGAGAAGAGACTGAACTGAATTGAACTCATTTCCATCCTTCTCTTATTTTCCATTTTCTCTGATAATTTGAATCATTATATACCTGTTGTGAAATTCGTAAAGTTCTCTAATGTTCCCAAAGAGAAACTCCTTGTTATTCTGCAGGACATCTGGAATTAGATGCTTCAGCCAAATAAAATCCATTGGAATGATATATCCCTGCAGAGGTGGAAAGAGGGTAGGTTTTACAAACAGGAACCCATAAGAGATGATCTGAATTAGACAGTGTAGAGGCCAAAACTTTAATAATTGGGGAGTATGGCATACATGTTTCCTGCAAGCCATTCCTTCAGATACTTTCTTTTGATGTTATATTCCTCATTGGTCTATCTTCAGAATAAGATGGCTTAATGGCAATGATAATATGGTAGCATTTTTACAGGAAGAACAAATCTATTTTTAAAATTTGCCACAAAAGTCAAATGGAAAAGGAAAAAAAAAACTTACCTCTTATTTTATGACCTGATGCAATTACTATTGTCTTATTTCCTTTATGGCTTTTTAAAAGCTTACTATGTATGGTTATAATCACAGTACATATATAATTTGTAGTCTGTTTTTCTGTGTGCATTTTAGACTCTGCTTGTAAATTTCTAGAAGTACTATTTTTAATTTAATCTTACAAGCATCTATTTCAATGTTGATGTTATTATTAAAAGTAATTATTTTGTAACAGTTGACTAATACTTCATTTAGCATATATTTAACACTTCATCAACCATTCCCCTTTTTACTGGATATTTGGTTTTATTCTGATGTTTTATTGTAAAAACTTTCCATTGTAAGTTAATACAAATAGTTTATTTCTCAAGATTACTACCTTAGGAAAATAGAGAAAATATAAATTTTACTCTTAAGCAAAAAGAATGCTACTTAATACAATGAGAAACAATTCTATTTATCAAAATGTTTAAATTATCACATCTGTTGTTGGCAAGCATATGATGAACCTAAGTGGGGCATTACTAGAATCATATGAGGTGCTATAATCCTTTGGAAGTTATTTTGTTACATAAATCAACAATCATAGAATGTTCTTATTCCTCCTGAGGGAAAAAAAACCACTTGTGCTATTATAAGACCTGAAACTTTGGTGGGAATTCTAGAGACATAAGGCAACTATCCTGAATTTCTTTCTGCAACAAAATTTTTACAGTTTGAATACATGATTAACATCCCCCTTGCTCCAAATCTACTTACATCAATTATGTTCTTAATCTCTTTTATATAAGTCTCTTCAGTCTCAAGCAAGTCACGTATAATATGCCTAAATCAGCAGCAGGTGGGAAGATGAAAGAGAGAGAGAGTGGGGTGGGGGGAAGCAGTGTTTTAGAATTCTTTTAGAATAACAGTCATCAATACAGTTCCCCTCAGTGGCTCACCTACTTAGGTTGTAGTGAGTTCATTCTGTTCTGCTCAACACCCAAGGGCCAACATCTCACAAAACCATACTCTGATCACACTGGCATGAGAAGAAATGGCAAAGTTAAAGGACTCAAAATCCATGTGTGCAGCCAGAGAATGACCTATTTGTGGGCCATAGTATGGGGGGCAAGAGGGCAGACACTGGAGTAGGAGATAACAGGTTTGGTTTCTTGGTCGGGAAGGTCTGCCTGATACCTACATCGCACATGTGGTTTCCTAGATTTTCTCCCCAGCCTTCTCCTATTTCATTGCTCACATCATGATCTTTGACCTATAGGGATGCCTTTTTGTGTGCATGGGGTTAGAAGCCTGTCCTTCCCCCTTCCTCTGGCATTCCATATTTCTGTGTGATTGATTTCCTACAGCCAGAAGACATGAGCTCTTTCTGTTTCCCTTGGAAAGGCAGGTGGGCGGTGTGGTATGCAGCATTCTAACATGGCCCGCAAGATTCCTGGCCCCTAGTGCACATACACCTCCTCCCAGTTAGTCAATCAAATACTAACTTAAGTGAAGATATTTTGCCATTCTGTTTTGTTTCATATCAGTTGACCTTAAGACAGGTAGATTATCAGGTTGGGCGTGTCCTACTCACATGGACTCAGAATCTGGGTCAAAAAGTCAGTGAGATTGGAAGCACAAGAAGGATATAGCACAAAGGACATTCTCCTTTGCTGGATTTGGAGATGGAGACAGGGTACACACCAAGGATCACAGGCAGCCTCTAGGAGCTGAGTGGCACCCAGCTAACAGCCAACAAGGAAACAGGAACTTTAGCTCTATGGTTGCAAGGAACTGAATTCAGCCACAACCGCACAAACTTAGAAGATAGCTTGTAAGAAGTTCAACTGGCTAACACCTTGATTTTATCTACGTGACTTCAGCAATTAGCCAGTCTTGCTATGCTCAGGCTCCTGTCCCGGGGCAACAGTGGGCTGAACTGTTAAGTCTGTGGCTGGTTTTCAACTCAGCAATAGAAAAACAAAAGAAAGGCCAGTCCCCACGTCTATCTCCAGATTTTTTTTTTCTCTCCTCAGGTTGTGTGGCCACACTTTCCTTTTAGGGCTAACTTTCAGGCCTCCAAGTGAATCAGTGTTTGTACAAGTGTTCACATGTAGAATATACACATTTGTGGTTTCCTGTGAGCTGCTCATGAGTTATCTATTAAACAGCAGTCTACCCTATAAAATAGTTTATTTTCCTCTCATAAGAATAGATATGACAAATAGTGACAAATAATCAAAGGATGCCATCTAGGAAATTCACACAAATACACAAATGACTATTAGTCTTCTAAAAAATGCTCAGTACATATGAATCCAACAAAGGCACTGTATAAAGAGGTTACAATTTTCAGCTTCTATAGTATGTCAGACACTGCAAAGGAAGACTGGCAGATGAAGATATGAAAACATGCTTAGATAATACTAGCAAAAGTATAAATTTGTGCAAGATACCTTAGAAATAACTCATCGTGATTTAAAACACACATTGACTGGTGTGCATGACTTAGCAGTTTCACTTCTAAACATGGTCACTGTAATTAAAACAACAGAACCTCAACTACAATAAGACACAAACTGGAAATTACTTAAATTATGGTACATACATGCAATGAAATGCCATGCAGTTTTTAAAAAGAATGAAGCTGACTGAATCATGCTGATACGACACAGTCCAAGAGTTTTAAGTGAATTAAAAAACAACCACCATCTCTAAATTTTTGGTAGAATTCAGCTGTGAAGTAGAGAGGGAGGTGGGAGGGGGGATCGGGATGGGGAATACATGTAAATCCATGGCTGATTCATGTCAGTGTATGACAAAACCCACTACGATATTGTAAAGTAATTAGCCTCCAACTAATAAAAATAAATGAAAAAAAAACAACCACCAAATGTACAACACTGTGTAGGATATGACTAGTTGTATAAACTTCACACTATTTGTGTAAAATGGGTGTGCATACATACATATATGTAAAATTATCTATGCTTAGAAAATTCATGCCAAGAAGCTTAAAACATTGTTAACAGTGATTCACTTTAGAGAGTGATAACAAAGACAAGAAAATAGAGGAAAAAATTTTTACATTTTACTCTTAGCCCTTCTTCAATCTTCGATTTGAAAAAAAAATTTACTGACTTTCTTGGTGGTCCAGTGGTTGAGGATCCACCTTCCAAAGCAGAGGATGCTGGTTTGATCCCTGGTTGGGGAACTAAAATCCCACATGCCACAGGGGAACTAAGCCATCCAATGACAACAAATGAGCCTGCACGCTCCAGAGTCCAGGCTCTGCAGTAAGAGAATCCCACAGCCACACTTTCCCATTCCCCATGTTGCAACTAGAAAAAGGATGCATGCTGCAATGAAGACCCAGTGTAGCAAAAGTAAAAATTTAAATACTTACTGCTTTCATAATTTTAAAAAATGGTTTACATGATACTTTAAAATGAATGTTACTGACAGTAATGACATATAAACCCCATTTGAGAGATATCCTACAATTTACCCTATCTTATAACTCAACGATTATTTTTTCTTAAAATGAAAAATTTATATCTTTTTAAAAATGCTTGTTATAAGACAAAACTGATAAAGGACAGCCGTTGACCAAGGATACAATTTCAAGAAGTATAATTCTAACAAAAAAGTTACTTCAAGATCATATTTATTAGTAGCTAATGAGTCTCTTTTCATGGGGTCGCAAAGACTCAGACATGACTGAGCGACTAAACTGAACTGAACTGATGAGTCTCTTAGTTTTCTGAATGTTGAGCTTTACTCTTTGGAAGGAAAGTTATGACCAACCTCAGTTCAGTTCAGTTCAGTCACTCAATCGTGTCCGACTCTTTGTGACCCTATGAACTGCAGCACGCCAGGCCTCCCTGTCCATCACCAACTCCCGGAGTTTACTCAAACTCATGCCCATCGAGTAGGTGATGCCATCCAGCCATCTCACCCTCTGTCATCCCCTTTTCCTCCTGCCCCCAATCCCTCCCAGCATCAGGGTCTTTTCCAATGAGTCAACTCTTCACATGAAGTGGCCAAAGTACTGGAGTTTCAGCTTCAGCATCAGCCCTTCCAGTGAACACCCAGGAATGATCTCCTTTAGGATGGACTGGTTGGATCTCCCTGCAGAGAACAACCTAGACCAACCTAGACAGCATATTAAAAAACAGAGACATTACTTTGCCAACAAACGTCTGTCGAGTCAAGGCTATGGTTTTTCTAGTGGTCATGTATGGATGTGAGAGTTGGACTATAAAGAAAGCTGAGCACAGAAGAATTGATGCTTTTGAACTGTGGTGTTGGAGAAGACTCTTGAGAGTCCCTTGGACTGCAAGGAGATCCAACCAGTCCATCCTAAAGGAGATCAGTCCTGGGTATTCACTGGAAGGGCTGATGCTGAAGCTGAAACTCCAGTACTTTGGCCACTTCATGTGAAGAGTTGACTCATTGGAAAAGACCCTGATGCTGGGAAAGATTGAGGGCAGGAGAAGGGGATGACAGAGGATGACATGGTTGGATGGCATCATCGACTTGATGGACATGGATTTGGGTGGACTCTGGGAGTTGGTGATGGACAGGGAGGCCTGGCGTGCTGCGGTTCATGGGGTCACAAACAGTCGGACATGACTGAGCGACTGAACTGAACTGAACTGAGCTGAATGAGTCTCTAAGGTTCCTTTGATTTTTGTAAATCATCTTGAAATGATGATAATTGCTATGTCAGAAAGAAATACAGGCCTCAGTACCAATCTGTTTCTAAGAGCCATAACATTAAGTAGGACCACAGCAACAGTTAAGCATTCATAGTAAACCAGAGTACAGCCAGCCTCTTATGGCCCTGTGAAGCACTGGGCATAAGTAACTTGGCAAGGCTGTTTACCGATGTATTGACAATTAAATAAAGTCACAAGGCAGAAATAACTAAGTAGTGGGCAGAAGTCAGTCTTATCATTCAACATTTATATAAGAACTTAGAGACCCCTAGGAATCTTTAGCAATCTGACATAAGAAAATATTCACAACTCAGAAGCAAAAAAAAAAAAATCCCCGGTCAGGTGATGTTCCAATTTCAACTGCTTCATTTTAGTACTGTTTTGAGTGCAATGGATAAAACTCCCAAGAACAGGAAGTCCCCTGAACACTGGTGGGCTTCATTTCAGTTCAGGTTAAAAAAAAGAATTCTCACACCATTGTTAGTCATTCTTTTTCTTTTCTTCTCCTTTATTTTCCTTTCAAATAACTTTATAAAACTGGAGAAAATTAATGATTCTAGCTGATGATGATTGCCTGCTTTATTATTCCAAAGCAATTTGTTCATAGGAAAAAACTCAAGGATTTAATATCTAAAGTCATCAAGTGTATATAATGTAAGTGAAAACTTTGGGAGTACTCAAGTAATTTTAAAACCTTAAACAAGTAGAGCAATTTATGTCCTGGTGGATATCTACCCAGGGGTGGAACACTGTAATTGGGATGGGGTTGATGATGCCAGATCAGCCTGCATAAATGTACTCTACACTAAATGTACTCTCTGGCTTTGATTTACATGTAAAAATGGATCTCCCTTCACCCACATCCCCAGGTCATTAAAGAGGAAATGGTAAGGGACTGTTTCTTCTCTGAAGCCATATTTCAAGGTAACATAAAAACATAACTTTGGATGGCTGATTCCATCCTATATTACACCTCCTCTTTGCTTCAGATGATACCACAACCAAGAGACAGGAAAGGAAAGCTTTTCTAAAAGATGAATGCAGCCCTATTTTGTACACAAGATCATTAATGTAGTATGTATGTGTTATGATTTCTTGGTAAGTTTCTTCTTTGCCCACACAC